AGTTTTCATACTTCTACAACTGTCATTTGTCCTTGCAGCTGCCTCACAAAGTAGGTCACTTGCCCCACATGTTCTCATCAGTTTACAGATGAGGTGTCTCAGGGAAGGAAAATAAATGTTATCAAGCCTCGACAGGGGTGCTTTCCTCTGCTTCCCAATCAATCCATCCATCCTTCCTTCTACCTTCCTTCCTTCCTTCCTACTACCTTCCCTCTTTCCTTTCTTCCTTCTTTGCTTTTTTCCTTCCTTCCTTCCTTCCTTTTTTCTTCCTTCCTTCCCTCCTTCCCTCCTTCCTCCATCCCACACTTTCTGAGCAATTAAGGCATGCCAGGCATGCTAAATTCTGGCATAGATGACTGAATTGGACTCCCAGTTCCACTTTTCTTCCCAGCCATACGCCACCCTCAAAAAACAGGAAATAATAGTCACACTAGAATGGCAGGGGGGAAAAGCAGAATGAGTTTATCGGGAAAGCCAAGAAGCCCACAGCATCGTGTTTGCAGCCCAGAGTCCTCCCGGGACCTCTCCTGTGAAGTCTCCTTCTAAAACCTTAGCCTTCTCCATGCCTTTAGACTCTTCGCTGATGCCCCCTCTCCTGTGCTCACTCTCCTCCTAAATCTTTGACCAAATAGCGATGCCCACCAAAAAGTCGGCCCCCGGAGGAATCCGCCAACCTGCCTCCCCTCCAGTGTCCGGGCAGCGTCCCATAAACTGGCTTGAATTCAACCAGGCTTCCCCGGCTTCTCCTGGCCCAGGCGGGATTCCCTGGTCCTTGCTCGTCTCCTAAGTTTTGTGAGCCCTAGAAGCCACATGACGGAGTCATTGGGAGGGAAAAGACCTGGGTTCAAATCCCAGCTCTGCCACTGACCAGCTATGAGACCATGGGCAAGTTTCCCAACATCATAACCTTAATTTCCACATCCATAAACCAGGAGTGAAGATCCTCCTTGACCTAAAGTGAGTGTCAAGAAAATAGTGTCTGCAAAGCGGTCGGCACCATGCCACTTGTGCTCACGGCCATTGGCACCCCTCAGAGCACTCACATCCACCTTCGGAGACCCTGTAACTGCTTAGTCTCGCTGTTCTCTTCCAGTCTGCATACTGCTTCACCTGTTTCTCTTCCTCTTCTTAACTTACACATTCCCAGAATATCAAACACTGTCTGAGTAGTCCTCGTTGTTGGGCCATTACTAACTACTTCGCCCAAGGAAGAAGGGCATTTATTTTCTCACACTTAATAGAGCAACAGACTAGGAAAGAGCAGGTCTGCATTCAAATCATGCCTTTATCACTCAACCAGTGGGGAGATCTTGACCTCTCTGAGCCTCAGTTGCTTTATCTATAAAATGGGTGAATGGACCAGCTCAGGGATGAAAAATTGCGGGTCAAATGAGATTCACAAATGTGCTTTTTTTTGGCCCATGTAGTTTTATAAAATGCTTTTATTTGGTTGCCAGCATTTAGGAAAAGAGATTTCATGTGATAGTTTAGATTTCTATCTTCTCTTGAAGGCTCAGATTATCTGGCAGGTCCTCAGTACCCCAAGGCAATAAGTAGCAGGAGCCGAATAGCAACTGGCTGTTCAGACGCGGAGTAAACTCTCCAGTTCATCACAGCACAGCTCGCCACCCTCCACTGCCCACGCCGCCCACTCCTCCCTTGTGTGACCTGTCTGCCCCCCGACATGTCTGTCTACATGGGCTACATGGTCTCTCTGGACGCTTTTATTTCTCAAATTCTAATTTATAACATACAACTTCCTTATGGGGAGCTACAGTCAGATCATTCCTCATTTCCTGTCGTTTTTGGCCCAGTTGAATAGACTTTGAAATAGAGGGACCTTGAGCAGAGAGGAGCAGGCAGGAATGTAATGGTTTTAGCAGTAACTACCATGCCTGCATAGGCAAGGCACAGAGCCCAAGAGCCTTCCAATTACCCTTCTTCATCACTGCCCAAGATTGGTGGGGAGGGCTACAGTTAATTAACTCTCTCCTATCCTGGAACAAAAAGGAACCTGGAAGTGAGAGATGAGGAAGCTGAACTCATTCCAGGCCCTGGACATTCAGGACCAGCCCTGGCCCTCCCCACGTATCCTTGTTCCTGAGCCACGAGCCACGCACACCTACTGCTCCCAGAGGCAGGGCTGAGAGTGTTGAAGGGAAGCCCAGCTGTGGCCAGCGTGGCTCCTGGCCTGGAATTCTCCACTAAGTGACCTGGGGCTGTGGACTCAGAACATGGCAATGGGGTTTGAAGTAAGGAAGAACCCGAGAGGACAACCAGATCACCCGCTCATTCAACAGACGAGGAAACCAAGGCCTAAGAAGAGGAAGTGACTTGCAAGTCAGTGGCAATCCGGAAGAACTCTGGTCTCCCTTAGGGAATGTTACCAGCCATGGTCCTCTGTCCTTATTCAAGAGCTGAGTCTGAACTTCAGCCTTCAATGGCCACTAAGAATGGGACACCCACAGCCACCTGCCCCAGCTGCTGCGGGAACCCACCTTCGTTCTCGGCTTCCATTTCTGGCTTTTCGCACGCACACGCTTCCCATCATCCACCACTTTAGGGACTGGGACAGGCAGCCTGTTGGCGTAATTAGGATCTATTCCCCTGGTGTAGGACCCCTGGAAAAACAGAAAATGGCTGCTCTTGGTTCCATTCTCTAGGAGGAAGGGAAAAACTAGCTCTTGGCAAAATCTGAACGATGGGTAAGCCCTGGCTAAGGAAGGAAGGCCCGGCCCGGCCAGCTGTGCCACAGTGTGTGCAGACTGATTCGAGGAGGAGGAACACCGAATGCCTGCAGGTGACCAGCAGGAGATGGGCGGCAGCTTCCAGACTACGGCCAGCCTCACTGCACCTGCTGCTTCTCGTCCTCTGTCTTCTGTCTCTACTGGGAAAAAATCCAAGCTACCAAGAACCCACGGCTTAGGGTAAGACTTCCAGCAAGAAACTAAAGTAAAAATGCTGGAGATGATTACTATCTGGAGGAAAATTACCTTTTAACCTAAAAATATACTTTGTGGCCTTGTAAACATCTATGTACCATGTGAGGCTGACGCAGAAACATACTTATGGCTTTCTGATTGCATAAGCTGCAATAAAACTCCCTGGGGGCAAAACATTTCCCTGTTTTGTGAGGTTTTGGAAAGGGCCTCCCTCTCTGCTCCTGGTGAGTTTCTGTGCGTGTTGTCCCCGCTGGCCGCACTGACGAGAGAGTAAATTGGTGACGGACAGGAGTCCAGACCAAAAGCAAGGGACTGCGGAAGCCTAAGGAGCCCCCGATGTGGAGCAGGAGGCCAGCCAGGGTCTGCCAGGGAGACGGAAAGTCAGGCCAGCCTCAACATGGAAGTGAGGCGGGTCTCCAGGTGCTCCCCTTCCAGCCAGGAAGTACCTGCAAGACAGAAATCTGGTTCTGAACGAAGTTCTGTGATGACATGTCCATCCTGACCTGCTGAGCCACGGCGGCCCACTGCTGGCTCACGGAAGCACACTTGTTCAAGGTGTTTCTATCTAGCAATCCTGGAGGAAAAAAAACAAAGATGGACCCAGAAACCCCAGAACTGGGCCAAGATGGGAGATGTCTTAGAAACCTCTAGTACATCCCAACATACTTAAAATGTACTTGGAGAGGTGGATGGGCAGGTAACGGATGAAGTCTCGGTATTTGCTGAACGCAGAAGACAGGTCCTTGACCTCTTCCAGGTCAACCAACAGATTACAGGGGTCGTACCCAGGCTTGGCAATGTTCACTTTCCCAGAAAATAGCCTATTCATCTCCGAAATACACTGCAGCGAACTCTTCCACTGTCCCTCTAGGATGAAGTCAGAGAAAGATACATGGTTGAGTTGTCACTGTCGTAACTCCAGGCCAAGAACAAGTCCTTGCCAAAAGCTCTCCCCCAAATAAAGCTCATCAGAGTCTACCCTTAGGCCACTGGATTTCTGTCACCTCTTTGTCTACATGACAATAGAAGCTTCTCAGCTCAAGGAGACATCTATATTAGCAAAGTCTAAAATGGCATCATGTCTGGAATTTTCTTGAAAATATCCCAAAAAGAAAAAATTGTAAACAATTTATAACACAAAAGGCGGGATGAATGAAATAAAAGTAGTAAAATGTTGGTCACTGTTGAAGCTGGGTGATGGTTATTTGGGTGGTTCTCGTACTTTTCTATCTACTTCTGAAATTTGAAATTTCCCATAAAAAAATGTTTTAGAATCTATGCTTTGTGTTTCCTATGATATTTCCTCTGGTATATTGTGTTTCCTATGATATTTCATGTATATTTCTCGCTTCAGAACCCAACTTAGGAGGGCCTGGAGTTCAGGGATCTAATTCCCCACTGTTTTTCTTCCCTCCTCAAGACTGAATCCAATGCTACAAAAATAGTCGCTGATGGGTTGGATTCTAGAGCTGCCCACCATGCCAGAGCACAGGGGCTTGGTGATGGGTTGTGGCCTGGGGCAGGAGGACTTCAAAGGAACCCCCCCCCCATAGTTTCCTTTCTGATCTCTGTTTTCAAGTGTCTCTAGGTGAAACATGGGCTTTAGAGTATACCGACCAATTTTAATCCTTGCTTCTCCCCTTACCAGCTGTAAGCATTAGAAGAGGAAAAAAATATCAAAGAGCCCAACACATTGTAGGTGCTACATGAATGTGAGTTTCCAAAATCCACCATGCCCAGATGCTACTGTCCTGCCAGCCCCTCTGACTCCACCGGGACTTCCCAATCTCACATACATGGGCTTCCTTGCTACGAGCTCACTCACCAGGATTTGATGCTCTCCCCTGTGCATTTTCACTTCTTGAGGCTTTGGACAAAGGAAAGGGTGTCTGCTGAGTTCTAGCTGCCCAATAGACATGTGAGGTCTCAGAGGTGGGGCTGTACGTTCTTTCGGATAAAAAATACACATTGGTAGAATCTTGATCAAACCCTGAAAAGCAAAAGACCAAGACGAAATTGCTCTTTAAAAAGCAGGTGTGTGGAGGAAAATGAGGTGGAGAGAAATGGTTTTATTTTTCCTTCCTTTTCTTAAAATATACACAAAACGGAACAGGGCAGTTATGTTTGTTTTTATTTGGGGCCTCTGAGTTTGTATGCAAAGATCTCAGCAGGCCCCCTGTTTGACTTTCAGCCTATTTCCAATGCAAAATGTATTAGAGCTTTATATATTAATATTTAATACAAGGAGAGAGAGTCGTGGGCAGGAGCTTCAAGAGGGACTGCTTTTTGGAAGCTCTTGCTGAATTTCTTTAATGACAGAAATAACTTCCCTTGAGTCACATTAGAAAATTTAAGTTTTTAAAGAGAGTCTTCCCTAGGAAAAGAGGAAGGTTGCTACAACCTGTAACAGGACTTACACAACTCCAAGATAAATAGTCCATTCCTACGGTGCATGATGAGGCCTTTAAGAGGAAGCAAGGAGCGCGTCACGTGTGTACACCAGGCCCTCCCCCTGGGGAGCGTGGCACGGTGCTCCGGAGGAGATCCTGGTTTTCAGCCCACTTGCTGGGTGACCTAAGCCAATCCCTCAGATTCCCAGAACTTTGGCCTCCTTATCTATAAAATTAAGGAATTGGACTAGTTGCTTTCTAATCTAATTTATAGTTTTGACACCCTAGGATTCTCTAATTTTTTTTTTACCAGGTCTTTATTCTATATTATCCTTATATCCCTGACACACTAAAGAAGTCAAGTGACATATATTGCAATCGAATCACTTCCTAGATCATCTAGTTTTAAAATTCTTTAGGATTCCATTAGTCTACAAATGTGACCAAAACTCAAGTCTCACTGGCGATAGGAATTATGCACCTTTAAGAGCCCAAACTCTGAAACTCCTCCACAGGGCGCCACCTCCCAGCCTCCTCCCACCCCCACCTGCACCTGCCCTTCTCCACCGGGACCTCCCCCTCCCGGACCCCTCCTGATCGAAAGTCTCCGGCCTCCCTTCTGGTTTCTTTTGCTTCCCTGAACCAGCTGGCCAGACGTTTCCAAGATTCTCTCACTAACACCCTAAACCAGTGATTCTCAAAGTGAGGTTCCCCAGACCAGCCACATCAGCATCAGCTGGAAACTTGTTAGAAATAAAGAATCCTGGGACCCACCTCAGACCTGCTGAGTCAGAAGCTCTGGGGGAGGAGCCCAGAAGTCTGTGTTTTAACAAGCCCTCCTGGAGATCCCATACAAGCTACAGTTTGAGAACTGCCACCCTAGAGGTATGTGGTCCTTTAGCTATCTCCAGCCTTGGAGAAACTCTACTCCAAGGTTTGATTTTATGCGTAAGCAAGGAATATGGTGGAGTGAATGAAAAAAAAAAAATCCCCAAGGTTTGACCTCTTAGCCTGGTTCCTGGGCAGGACAGCTGAAGGCAAAACAATTTAGCAGCTTCCCCCTTACTGTCCTCTGAAGCCCAGTCCAGTCCCTAAAGCAGGAACAACACCGGAATTAAGTGGTCAGAAGCAGGGACCAGACATTTCTCGGTCTAACGAACACAAAAATCCATTTTAAATGCTTGACATTTAAAAGTCCAGTATTTCCTCCTACATTTGCCATTTTAGTTTCTCAAAGGAAGTTACATTCCTCAGTTTCTCCTTTGGTAAACAGGATCAGGTGTCAGAACAAGGTGTCAGCTCAAAGAACCCTGTGCTGCATTCTGGACACTCCCCATCTACCTGAGCTTGTCCACACCTACAGTTCCCTGCAGGCTCCTGAGGTCTTGCTCTGCGGTCTTTGTGGGCCCTTGTTTACCTGAGATATTACTCTGCTCTCTCAGAAACAGGACTCTGATCACATTGGCAGCAGTGAGCAGCAATTTGGGGTCGCACATCTGCAGAAGCAAGAGAGTGTAATTGGCCTTAGTCTGGTGGGTGCTGTTCCCAAACCAGCACAACATCTCCTTCATCTTCTGTTCTACGGTTTTATCCAACATTTGGTTCAAGGAGGACCTCACGGTTTTCCCCTCCTTCTTGCTGAGGTGGATCCGGGACCTGCTATAGATGAAATCCTTCCCCTCTGTGGCCTGAAGGATATTTTGGAAATAGTGTAACAAATATAAGCTATTTAACTGCCGCAGAATGCTAACTAGAAACTTCGTCTGCGATATCTCGTTGATCCTCCGGAACCACTCTTTGGTAGAGAAGATCTTCCACGCCAAGACACACGTCTCACACTTCTGGCACACGGGGACAGAATCGTTTCCCTTCTCACAGCGAAAGTACAGGGCATTCTTGAGCCTCGACTCCAGGTTTTCCATGATCCTGAGACAACCAGCTCATGTTAGCCTTGCCCATTTGCAACTCCAGCAAACACCCGGGGAACAGGGGAGAAGGATAAATACCCAAACTGAGCCTTTTCTATTATAAACATCTCCTGGAGAAAAAGTAAACTGCTGCAATGGATGGAAAGTGTGTGTCTCCCGGAAACTGCCAATAGAAGTCTGGCTTTCTGTACCGACCTCCTTGGAAACAAGACTTTACCGTAAATCTCCTAAGCCTGGCGCCACGTACGCGGAGGCAGTTGCTGTATATTCTGAAAGAGCTGGTCATCTCATTTCTAGAACAACAAGAATGCTCTTAGTCAAATTTAAGTAACATGTGGACTCCTTTTAAAGAAAAAATGTACAATATATTGTAGAGCCTGGTGTTGAGCTTCAATTGTTGTTGTTATTAATGAGGCTTAAATATTCATGAATATAAAATAAGATGTAAACTTCTTATGTTTACAGCTGTTCAGTTATGAGGTGGCTAGCCCAATGATCCTGAGTATCTTTATATTCATTTTCTGAAGTCAACATCCAAGTAAAAACAGAAAGTTATTTAACTGCTTCTGAACACTGGCCAGCAATTTCACTGCAGCCAAAATACCCATGCAAATGTTGGGCAGCCCAGAAAAAGAATTTCTAAGGCACTCTGAGACAATTCTCCTACTTCAGACAAGACTAGGTTCAACCCTTGACTCTAGTACTTAGAAGCTGTGTGGTACTGAGCAGGACACCTGGCCACTCTGAGCCTCAGCGTCTTCACCATATGTAGGAGGATGGAGCAGATGAAGGGAGATGATAAAAATTGTAGCTACCTCCTAGGATTAGATAAAATACTGATATATTTGAGTAATTGTTGCTGCTATTGTTATTATTATTATTATTACTCCAGATAAAACCAAAAGATTTGCAATACTGCATCCTTCCTAGTGCCCATGTCTGAAGACCAGGCACAAAGAGAGGAAGGCAGTGGAGGTCATCGCAGGGATGGGGGATGATTGGCAATGGCAGTCGCACAGAAGGTTAACATCTAATTCTTCAGGAAGGCCAGACAAAGGAGGGTGGCAAGGAGAAGGAAGGCCCAAGGCAGACTTTTGAATATGTAAGGGGGGGCATATTACCCCCAGAAGTGCCACAAGCTAGAAGTATCTTGCTTTTTATTATTTTTTATTGCTAATAGACACATAATACAAGTAGCTTGTTTTTAAAGGTTCATATAAACCCAGCTGTTAATCTGTGAGGCTGACATACATAAAGGACACAGTTTGATGCACCCAGCTCAGTCTTTATTCCAGGTTTGAGTACCAACTACGGTCCCACGGAGGGGCACAAACTTGCGGTCAGAGAGAGAGAGATTAGCTCGAATCTCATCACTGCTTCTCACTAGCTGTGTGACTTCGGACAAGCAATTCAATCCTCTCCCACCCCCCATTGCCTGATCTGTAGAAGACATGCTAGTCCCTACCCTGCGGGTGCTGTGGTGTGAAGATTCCATTCATAAATATTGGTGAGCGTGACAGCTACTCCTGCTGGGCCCCACCCCCAGAGTTCCTGACTCAGTAGCTCTGGGCTGGGACCCTGAGAACGTGCATTTCTGACACGTTCCCACACTGATGCTGCTAGCCAGAAAGCCATTTTTGAGAATCACAGAAGTAAGCTTTGCTCATGTCTCAAAATCTGTGAAAGTAGCTTCGTATTAGAAATAAGCACAAATTACTTAATTCTTTCACAACATATTACTGAGTGACCCTGAGCAAGTTACATAACCTCTCTGAGCGGCTAGTGTTGTCATCATTCCAGAAAATAGAGAAATAGCATCTACCTTACAGGGCTGCAAAGATTAAATGAGAAATGTCAGGGCAGAGACCAGCAGCCCGACCCACAAAACCTACCGGATCGCCTTAACATCGCGGCATAAAGCCTGGAGCGTCCTGTGGGAAAATAAAGTTTCACTTCAAAATTAAGCTTTTGACGACTGAAGGGAAGACAGAGGGGGAGCAGCAGGAGGAAAGGAGGAGCGGTCTGAAGAAAGGCTGACGGTTTGTACAGGACCTTCTGGAGAGCACACTTCTGTTTGAAAAGGCTGCAAACACGGAGCTCCTATCGCTCAACACCTCGGAGATGCCTGGGGTGTTATTTGCAGTTTGGCTGGATGGCTCGGTAGGATTTTTGAAAATTATTTTTTTATATGAGACAGTAAAATCATGGGTGAGCGCGCACACGCGCACACACACACATTTTTTCAGGTACTCATCAGGGTCACGCCTTAAGTTATGAATTTGGGGGAAAGGATTGTTACCTCAAATGACCAACCACTGCTGTACTGACCTCGGTCCTTGTGAAATGACTGCTGCTCCCTTTTCTTTGCCAGTACCTGCCTCCCTCCTTCTGGGAGACCCTGAGATCTTCTCAACAAGCCTACAGAGCAAGCCTGAAACAGAGATAAAAACTGGGCCGGCCCCCAAACCCAGGGTGGCCAGCACTCTGCCTGAGCCTGACACAGCCAGTGTCCCCTGAATGTGGATATGAGGGGCATGTGGCACGGTGGACCTCCCTGCAAGGGTCTCCTGCCCAGCCACCCAGATGTCTAATCACAGGAACAGAGGGAGGGGAGCTGGCGCCGAAATCTGAGGGAGCTGGAAGCGGGAAATGTGCACACTGCCTCTTCTTCCATCTCCCGGCTGTAGCGAAAGGGGCTGCGGTGGTGGCTCCCAGAGCAGGGGACGTTGGTCAGTGATGACAATATAGAACTCAGGCCCTGAAGATGGCCTGAGAAAATAAGGCAGCACACCAGGACACGGAAATGAGCAATCCATTTCATGTATCGCCTCATCTGTCATTGTCTCTAATAGTAGATTCCTATTTGGCTCTTCACGTATGAACACTTTTCCCTTCAATTTAAATCATCTTCTTGTCATCCAAAGACACAGCTAGTTATCTTCTGGGTTACTCTATCTTAGTACCTAGCACAGCGGTTTATACGTTATAAATGCCACAGATGTTGAATTGACTTGATTTGAGGACAGTCATTCCAAACACATACTGAGCCAGGTTGACAAGATAAGGGCTCCAGGTTGGGCCAATATTGCTATCTCATCATTTCATCATGAATGTGGGGATTTATCCAGAACTCATAAGACCCCTGGAAGAGAATGCCTTACGTGCTTGGATTTCAAAAAGTTGAGACAAGAATAAATCATGTAGTGGTTAAGATTACATTGTGACTCTGCAATCCCAAATGGTCTGGTCATGGAACCAAACCATCTGGCACCAAAGCAAGCTCTTGATGAGTTCAGGTTTTTGTTTAATTTAGTTTTATTGTGTTTATTTAATAAGTCTGCATAACGGAAGAGGAGATAAGGGTAGGTAAAAACAAAAGAGTGGCACACACTCACACAGCTAGGGAAAATGCCAGAGAATATAAAATAGGCCTTTGTTCTCTGCTTTTCTTTCCTTAGTTTTTTTATTTGTTTTAGGCAATTTTCAGTTTTCAGACCAAGGGAAAGAAAAAAAGAGATACTCATTGCTTGAAGACATGACAGAAAAAAGCAATTATGCCCAACTCTTATTTTTGCCTTGATCTTTTATATCAAGAAGAAAGGTCTTGAACCTGAAAACTAATAGACAAAAAAAAAAAGCTAACAGGAAAATAAACTTTAAGACAGGTAAGGAGACACCTAAATGGTTTCTTTTATATGAGATCCAGTGTTCTGGCCTAAACAAATTACATGTCAGGACACTGACACTACTTACCAACGTGACTGCAAATCAGGCAGGAATCTTTGAGAAACTAAGAAAAATATTAGAAGATGGGAACAGGCAAAATCATCTTGATTTTTTAAAAATCAAGGTAGATTCTAGAAATAACAGACTAGTAAACTTGACAGTAGCCCACAGCAGAATTCTAAAATGGTTTATCAAATATTTTGTGATCATTTTGAAAAGGAGTGACAAGTACCCAAAACCCACAGGGGTTCTATAAAAACAAGGTAGGCCTGCCAGGTGCAGTGGCTCACACCTGTAATCCCAGCACTTTGGGAGGCTGAGGTGGGAGGATCACTTGAGGTCAGGAGTTCAAGACCAGCCTGGGCAGCATAGCAAGATCCCACTGGGCATGGTGATGCATGCCTGTAGTCCTAGCTATTCAGGAGGATCGCTTGAGCACAGAAGTTCAAGGCTGCAGTGAGCTGTGATCAGGCCACTGCACTCCAGCCTGGGCGACACAGCCAGACCCTGTCTCTAAAAAAAATTTAAAAAAAAAACAGGCAGGCCAAGCTGACTTCATTTTCTCTTTTGAAAGCATTATTAGACAGGTAAGATCAAAGAAACTCAAATATAGTGTATTTTGACTTCTGCCATCAAAAAGTCTTTCATCATGTCCAGTGGATAAAGGTGCAAAAAGGTGGGGGCTACATTATCACACGGTTCTACCCATGCACAGCGTGTGTATAACTAAACCCAGAAGCTGTCGACTGAGTGCTGTAAAGTTCTGGATTTGGCCCTACCTTCATCAATATTTTTATCAACAAGATTAAGACTTAAGAAGAGTTGCCAATCCTGCAGGTGACACTAGGCTAGGAAGGACATCTAATATACTGGATGCAGAATCATGAACTTAAACTATCTCAGCATGCGGTGATGATGTGATGAAATTAAAGTAAAAAAAAAAACTTTTAAATCCCACACCGTCTATATCCTTAGATACAAACATGGGACAGAGTCTCTGGAAACAAGTCAAGCAATGCTAAAGTCACATACTCTTGACATGGGCCCATCGGACTAGTCGAAGAAGAAGAGATTCGCCTTGGCACAGGTCCTAGGAGAAGACCCAGAAGTTCTATTTCTGGTGAATTGCACCAGGCCTTCAGGTTATGGCCTCAGAGACCCGTTTAAAGACAGTTTGTCATTTTCCTCAAGGTTTGACAAATGTTCACCATTAATCTTAGGGAGCTTATTTGTGGAAAGGAGAATGAGGTGACCAGTGGGGGAAAAGGACCATGAAGGAAAGTAGGAAAATGTAGCGTGAAAACAAGAATATCTCCCTGGGGGGCCTGAGAGCTGTCCTCAAACACTTGAAGAACTGTCCTTTGAATGAGAAATCAGACAGGTCCACATATCCAGGTGACTTGAGGAGAGGAGACAGACCCCTCTCAGAGGTCACAGGGACTAAAACTTGCACTGCATTAAAGACATTTCTTCTAATCCTTGCTGTCCCAAAACAGAATGAACAGATGTGTGAGGCAGTGGGCTCTCAGCCAGCGCCGGTGGGACGGCCGAGTCAGATACGGCATGTGCAAAGGGATTTGCATGCTCTAAGAGGTGGGTTCAAGGTGCTCTGTTTCTCCGTCATGTAGTTCACCACGTAGTTTATTCCCTTATATACAATGTCCGTCATCTCCTGAGGAAGGCAAGATGGTGCAGTAGGTAAAGAGTTCAGTATGAGCCTGCCCAACTTTGAATCCCAGCTCTGCCACTCACTCACTGCGTGACCAGAGTGACCTTAAGGAAGTTAGCTAACCACCCTGGACCATGGTTTTTCCATCTGCAAAGTGGGGATGGCAGAAGCATCTACCCTGTGGGTCTGCTGTGAGGACTGAGTGAGTTAATGTGCAGCAAGCACTCAGAACAGCGGCTGGCACATAGGAAACACACAATTAAGTTAGGAATTTATTGGGATGACTCTACAATCTTTTCAGCCACTCTGAAAACTCCTGGTTATTATTTCTGGGCACAGTGTGACATTCACCTGAGCAGACAGGACACTATCACTAGAAGATGATAAGGGAGACGTCAGCACCTAACAATTACTACAAACATATAGAGGACAGCGTTGCACGAAGCGAAAAAAAGAGCAGCCAGATAACCTTCCCCTCTTCACAGCCACACATGATTTCCAAAGCCAGCTACCACTGGCAGATGCTTCTGTCCCCAAGTCACCCTTAAAATGCAAGCTGCTGCCCGGTCATTGTGGTTAGCAGAGGTCTGGGATATGGATCCTGGAGTCTAGGCAGCAGCCTCCACTGCAGATGGTGCTGGCTTCTCGGGTTCCTCTCCCAGATCCGCAATCCGGATGGTGTTTTCCTTCTTGGAAAGCCAGAAGGCAGCATAGACTGGCTCTGAAAACTTGCAGTCAAACTTGTGAACCAGAGTCATGGCATCGTACTCCACGCCGTAGAAGGAAAGGGTCCCTCCTGGGAAGTCGACGTAGATTCCGAGCCTCCGGAAAGGGCTGGCTTTAAGCGGGGTCTCGGTGTCACTGTGCCAGGCCGTGAACTCCTTCCCATTCCACTGCAGGCTCCAGGAGAAGTCGTTTCCGGAAATGCAGCTATTGCGCTCCTCCCCTTTCCGGTCGATGCCTTTGCAGGTGAGGCCGACGTAGGTGCCTGCCCCGGAGACCTCTACCTCGAAATAGTACCTGTGCAGGAACAGACTCTGCTGGGACAGCACCTGCCGCCAGTGTGTGAACCTGCTGGGCAGGTCCGGGTACGGATGCTCCCAGGGCGAGGTGTTGGTGACCTTGCGGTTGTCCTCCTGCAGCCGGAGATACCTGTGTGCCGTGTCTGGGTCAAACGTGATGTCATGCGCGTCTGAGGAGATACAGAAGGCAGGAGAGTATTTCAGCAACTGACAGCTGATCAGACAGAAGACTTCAAACCCTGCCAGCCTCCAAAGCATGTGTGAGAAAACATCCATCTATTTACCCTGGATGCTGTTCCCCCAGGTGAATGAACACAGAAAACAAAACACAAGTTACTCTCTGCTGCCTTCCTTTCTGAAGCTCACATTGCTTGATGTTTACTGTATTATTTGGTGAACTGAATCAAGAAATAAATTAATTTACTCATTCAACGAATAGGTGTTGAAAGCCAGGCACCATGCTACCCAGTGTTGGCAAGGATTTAGGGAAGTAGGTACTCATAGACCCATATTTGATTGGTTCATCCATTTTTAAAAATATTTGACCAATATTTAGCATGGTGAACTCTCAAACATGCCCTCATATTCTCTTCCTGACCCCAGAGAACAATAGCGTCTCCATGCACCCAGTTGCTCAAGTCAAACTCAAAGTCGTTTTTGACATTTCTTCTGCCCTCCTCTTCACCCCCATCCCTCCCACACACACAGGCAGCAGCAAGTCCTGTAGATGCTGCCACTTCTCTCCAGCCTGTGCCTCAGTCCCCAGCTAAGGTGCCACCAGTCTCGCCTGGACTCGTGCAACAGGCTCCGACTGGTGGTGCTGCCCTCTCTCACCCTCCTTCAAATCCCTCTCCAGGACGGAGCCACGGTGCTTGTTTCATAGGCTAAGGTGAATCAAGTTGCCCCTCCTCCTAGGATAAGGCCCTGCACGGCTGGCGCTTGCCTGTGTCGCCCACTGTCTTCCCCTGGATCACCACGTCCCAGTGTCCCTGAGCTCAGACCTGCTCAACACTCACCCCACTTTGGGGCTTCAGCACAGCCTGTCCCCTCCACGATGTGACTGTTGCCCTGCTCTGAGTCTGGGTGATTCCTACTGATGTCAGGCTGTGGCTGAGCATTCGTGTCCTCCGAGAGGCCCTCTGTGACTTTGAAATCACTCTCTCAGAGCACTCTGGCTTTTTAAACTTCACGGTACTCATCACCCTTTGTAATAATAAATTCACACATGTGTTTGCTTCATGCTTGTCCTCCTTCTAATCTATAAGCTCCACATTTTTCATGGGACTCTCCTGGGGCTCTAGCTCAGAGAAGATGCTCAGTATATACTTCCTAAATGAATTAGCATTTTAAAAGTTATTTTTAAAATCTTGTAATTTAAAAAGTTCTCCCAGTTTAACCCAGAGTTTTCCAAACTTCTTTTTGTCCAGATAAGAGAAATTCTTAGTGGTCAATAAGAACACGCCCTGGAAGAAAAGAAGAACATACAATCTAATACGGTGAAAGGGAAAATAAGGCACATAGTCTGAAGCTCCATGTTACTAAAAGTGGCCCAATAGCACAGTGGTGGCACTTTTGCTCACAACCGACTCTTTTGGCAATTCTTAGCACACAGATTTGGAACAACAATATTCTTCTCATCTAAGGGGATCCAGTACTCCTTGGAGAGTAGGTGACTCTATGTCTTGGGAAAAGGAAACGTTAAGGGGTCTGGAACATTGTTAGCGCCAGAAAGCAATGATACTTTTAACAATGTCGAGGGCAGAATGTCACCATTCCAGGAAGAAGAGCCAGCTTGAAAGTGGCTCCCACTGGTCAGGTTGGCAGTTGGAGCCACAGAACCTGGACAGTTGAAACAATCTGAGTTGATAAAAGGTCAAGAGTTCATAATAATATTAACAAGAGAAAAATTAATATCATGAGTGAAAAAAGATACTTGTAACGCAAAAGAAGATGGATTATAAAAAGATATGTTTAATTTTTATTTTAATATTAAGAATAAAGGGTACTTAGGTTCTTGTATTAACTATGTCTCTCTGTAAAATACAGATGTGCTTCTGTCGGGAAGCAGGAAGGAAGGAAGGAAACTGTGTGGGGGCCAAGAGAGCCTGGGAGAAAGTAGGAGCTGTGGCAAGAACAGGCGGTAGTCATGGCAACCTGCAGCCCCACGTCATAACCAGAGGAAAAGGCGGCCTGCGAGTTAGTTGGCCAGTGGTCAGCCCCAGAAATCAGGCAGAAGCAGGGTTCAGTGTTCCAAAAAGACGTCATAAAAATGAGCATGAACTACATAGATGCCAGTCTTTCCTCTACTAGGAGATGAAACCTCATAGATGTGTTGACTATGATGAAGTATGTTTTTAATTTAATTTATTTGACAGATAAAAATTATGTATGTTTATGGTGTACAACATGATGTTTTGAAATATGGATGCATTGTGGAATGGCTAAATCAGGCTACTTAACATATGCATTACCTCACATACTTATTTTTTGTGTGTAGTAAGGACACTTAAAATCTACTGTAAGCAATTTTCAAGTATACATCACATTGTTATTTAACTATAGTCACCATGTTGTACGACAGATCTCTTGAACTTATTCTGTAATGAAGTATTGATTAGAAATACAGTTGACCCTCGAAGAACATGGGTTTAAAATGTGCATGTCTGCTTATGCCTGAATTTTCTTCTGCCTCTGCCACCCCCGAGACAGCAAGACCAACCCCTCCCCCTCAGCCTACTCAATGGGAAGATGATGAGGATGAAGGCCTTTGTGATGATCCACTTCCACTTAATGAATAGTAAATATATTTTCTATTATGATTTTTTTAACATTTTCTTTTCTCTGACTGACTTCATTGTAAGAATAAAGTTTATAATACATATAATAGAAAATATGTGTTGACTATGTTATCAGTAAGGCTTCAGGTCAACAGTAGGCTATTACTATATATAGTATTAAGCTTGGGGGAAGTCAGAAGTTGCGTGTGCATTCTCGACTGCACAGGGAATCAATACCCCTAACCCCTGCATTATTCAAGGGTCAACTGTACAGTGTTTTTTAAAATGCTAACAGACCAGGTCAATACCACATAATGATAGGACAATGTATTATGCAATTCTGGCCAAGCCAGACTTCAAAATGAACCATCTGGCCAGAATTCTTCAAAGTACCAAGGTCATGAAAGACAAAGACTGAGGGACCGACCCCGAATGGAGGGGACTAAGGAGACATGGAAACATCTGTGATCCTGGATTGAACTTTGGGCAAGAAAAAGGAACATGGTAGAACATTTGGTGAAACCTGAATCAGTTCTGTAGATTAGTTAATAGCATTGTAGCAATGTTAATTCCCTGGTTTTCATCAAGGTATTGTAGTTATATAAAGTGCTAACATTTGGAAAAGCTGAGTGAAAGGTATGTGGGAATTCTTTGTCCTATTTCTGTAATATTTTTGTAAGTTTTAAATTATTTCAAAATGAAAAGTTAAAAAAACTTTTTAATTGCATTTTTAGAACCCTATCATTTAGGGATAGACACGAGGTTGCAAGAACCTGAAACCTACATGAGAGATGGTGGTTCTTGCTTCAGCAAAGCATTATGCTGACATCAACAAACAGGGAAGGGGAAGTTGCTGGTGACTTACATTGGAGGAACTGTTCCCTGGTGCTGGGCTCAGGTTTCGAAGTCCGATATTTGCGCTGAACAGCAGACACTTGAGTCCTGATGTCATATTCCTCTAGAAAATCAGACAGTTAGGAATGCACACCTGCCCAGGTCGTCAGGAGAATGAGAGAAGGAGGACTTCCCAGCAACCCTTCTCTGGGCTTCCTGGGGCAGGAAAGGGCTGGAGCCTGGTAATGTCTCAGGGAAGCATGTTGAAGGACATTTCCCTCATGAGGCAAAATCTGCTGAAAAAGATCCCAGACTGACTTGGATTTCACTTAAAAGTACAAGCATCAGCAACCTGAGGAGCTAGCCCTGGAAATGCCAGCCAGTTACATGATGTGACCAATTTACCTTCTCTTGGTCTTACTTGTAAAATAAAAGCATCAAGATGAGGGCCTCTTCGTCATGGCCTATCTGAAGGATGGCTTTGGAAATGACACGTTCCCCTGATTTCACCCTCCCTCCTCTGGCCACTCTCGCCTCCCTGTCAATCACTGGTAGAGACACACCCACCAAGGCTCAGGGCCCAGAAAGCCTCTCACCTTCCTTGGCAAACTCCTGGAGCTTTCCCTTATAGTTCTGCAGCAACTGGATTAAGTGTACAGTGGAGTCCGTGATGACCTTGCGGATGCCCGAGAGTTTGTCCTTCAGGCCTATGTAAACGCTGGGGAAGGCGTCGCTGTCCTCCGTGTTCTTCAGCTGGCAGTACTCCTGCAGGGAAGGCAACGGCAGCACTTGCTGTGGTTTCTGTGTTTCTTAAATTAGCTGCTCTCCTCAGTATGGCTCTTTCTACATCTGTACGACTGGCTGACAGTTATGTGTCCTTCACAAAGAGTGTATGGAAAGTGTTCAGCTCAGGGTCTGACTAGGTAGAAAGCACTTTTCTATGCTGCTAGACCCTAAGAAAAGCGGTCTTTTAAAAAATTGAAAGACATTGGACGTCCACAAATAGCTCCAATGCACAGCCCAGACTGGAGACCAAAGAATAAGAACATTCCTGCTCTGTTCATTTTCTAAGCCCTTTTTAAAATTTTCTTTTTAATTGTTTTGGATAATTTAAACACGAGCCATGGTGTGGCAAGGAACTGAGGAGCTGATTGCAGTATCTGAAGATCCACAAACAAGACCTCGGGCAGGAATGCTGCCTTTTCCTTATTAATTCAATCCAATGCATAATTTTCTGTAATTCTTGTTCTGTGCTTGAGAGTTTGGAAAGTGTTTTCACATAAATAATCACATGAAGCCACTTAAATTTCAAAACAATGTGGTGATCAGGAAAGATTGCTTTGAGGCATAACACAGTGTCAAAATTCAGACTCAATTGAAGCATTAAATAGCAGAAAACTCAGTGAAGAAAACCATTTTTATCCCAAAATGGTTAGATAGAGCCATGGAAGTCCAAAGCAGAGAGTTGATAAGAGAGAAAGCTAAATCAAATGTTAATGTTGTATATAGATTTGTACTGTACCTGTCAAAAGTAGCATTTTAAATCAGCGGGGGAAAGAATGAATTATTTGATAAATGTTATTGTTTTGATTGACTAACGATTTGGGAGAAAACAAGTTATCTTTCACCAAAATAAATAAATAAAATCTATTTTATACATATTAAAGTTTTTATGTTAAAAATAAAGTTACAAAAGGAGAAAAGAAAACAAAGAGAAATTATTTATATACTTCTTTAAGTAGGAGATCTTGGGAGAAACTTGTGACACAGGAAGCCAAATATTTATTCTTTTATTTTGTGCTATTGAAAAGCAACTAAACTGACAGAAAGCAAGATACAGTCAGTGTTTTTGTGTAGCTTTCTCTGCTTCTCTTTCTCTTACTCATTAAAACTATGACTGTCTTTGAGTGCTGGGATTGTGGGTGATTTTTTTCTGCTCATTCTGTATTTTCCAAGTTTTTTCATGACAAACATTTATGTCTGTTATAACCAGAAGGGAATATTTTCAAAAATGCAAGTGAGAAAAATTATTTGTATTTTGGAATATTAAAACTTAGAAGGAACCCTATAAATTGTTTACACCAACCTGCTTGTTGGTAACTGAGAAATTTGAGACCCAAAGAGGTTAAGTGACTTCCTAAAACCTGCACGGCAGTTTAGTGACAGATCCAGGATGACAGAATTTACCCCCGCACTAGTGTTCCTTTCCTGCAAGATCTGGCTCTGATGGCCTATGGCTTAATATATAATGATAAATTGTAATGAAAAGTTCCACCTCCTCTGTTGACCCTTCCTCAATTGCCCCAGCACACAGCGCTTTCTGAAAAGCAGCAGCGCTCCAGTGTCATCCCTGCCAGGCAAGCCTCTCCATACCACCAACCTACCACGACACCAGAGCAGTTTACAAAACACGCTTACCTGCTTTCATCACACTCTTCGCAGCCAGATGCCTGCCTGGCCTCATCTCCCAGTGCTATGCTCCCCGCATCCTGTGCTCCACCCTTGTGAAAGCGCCTTGGCTCCCCACGTCAGCCGTGTGTTCTTAAACCTCTGAGCCTTTGCATATGCTGTTCCCCTTACCTGGAGCATACTGCACCCTGAACCTGGTTCATCTTCCAGGACCTGCTTCAAGCTTCCTTGCTCTGAGCAGTCCTCCCTCCCTAACCCTCCTGTACTCTGCTGAATTCAGATCTGCCCTCTGTTCCCACAGTTCCCTGTGTATCCCATGTGTCAAAGAGCAGATTTGCCATTCGCAGATCTGTCACAGCCTAGCGGGGTGAGCCCTGCTCCCCCTGCTCCCCCTGCCCGCCCCGTACCTCCAGGAACAGGACGGTGTTGCTGATGGCAGCTATCCTCTCCAGCTCCTCCCTGCTCTTCACCATCTCTGCACTGCGGTACTCTAGGTGCGTCTTGATGCCGTTGGCCTGGCTCAGAGCAGCTTGCTCCTTCTCCTCCAAGAAGAGCATCACGTCAGCCTGGGCCTTCCTCACAGCAGCAAGGAGTTCCCCAAACTGCTCTTCGGCCACCGCTCTTACCTCTGACACTGACATCTGCAGGGATGGGGTAGGAGACAGCCAAGCACCTGTCAGTGAGGCATCCAACCTTATCAACACTCAACATGCAGAAACATAAGTCTCCTCATCCATTTGATGAGAAAGTGGATGACTACATGGCCTCTGAGATTTCTTCCAGCTCTGACAGTCTGGGACTGTTAATCAAGTTTCTGAAATTGATTTTCCTACAGGGACAATACATATATTCAGTATACTTGATAGTCATATTTCAAGAAGCAAATTACTAATTTGGCTTTTTGGTACAAATCAGTAGCATGAATTAGTTTTCTTAGCATTTCATTATGCCTGATGAAACTGACCACTGAGTCTATCAGAGCCAGAAGCACATCGAAGATTACAGTGTCTCTACCAGGCACAGAGTTGCCACAAAATGTTTAGGGTGCGTGTAGACAACCACGGCATGCAAGCAATTGCAGGAATGAGCATATTTATACAGAATGGAATGCTGTTCTTACAGGACTAGTCTTGGTTCCTTGTATATTGTTAAAAAGCAAATCGCTTGGCAGTATGGAAATTTAAGTTAATTGTATAACAAATCTTGGTATCGAGGTATCAAAGTGAGCCAATGGTACCAAATTCTCACTTGCTGAGGAACCCCAAGGAACCTATAGACATGGAGGCTGGGCCTGCAGCCCCGTGTCCCACAACCCCAGATGGGCCTGGCTGACCCTGGAGTGGCAGCCAGGGGTGCTGAAGCCAACAGATGTCCCAGACCAGCCTTACCAGAACAGATTTATGGTTGGCTTGGAGCCTGGCGATGGCATTTTCATTCAACTTGAGCTTCCGCTCCAGGTCTAACTGGGTGCACCGAAGTTCAGCCTAAGAAGCAGAAAGGAGAGAGTTAGGGAGGAAGGAGCCCCAAGCACACAGAGGGTCCCAAGGAAAAAGGCACTTTCCATCCTTGAGGTCTCTGCCCTTCGTGTCTGGGAAGGAGCGTGACCTCTGAAGCTGCTGTCAGAAGCCAGCCTGGAGGCACACGGCACCGGCGGTGAGCCAGCTCACTCCCAGGGCTGAAGGCAGCATAAATTTGCCGAAATGCACTGAGAATGTCCACTGTGCTGGCCATCATTTCAAAGCATTATATGGATTGCCTCACATCATCCTTACCATACCCACACTAGGTAAAAATTATTATTATCCCCATTTCATAGATGATAACATCAAGCCACTTATCCAGGTTCATCAGTGGAGTTGAGCCTGGGTCCTCAGAACAGCGTCACAATGATGACAGGCTAGAGCCAGGCGGCCAGGTGGGAAACCCAGTATTTTATCTACCAGTTGAGCCTTAGGACAAATTTACTCATGTATAGGAAAAACACACTTTCTTTTTCTTGCACTCACACTCACCACACAACACTTTCGTGATCAAAACGTGCGGGTTTTGTGTCCTGCACCAAGCGATTCACTGACACCAGCCGGGTGCCCTAAGCTTTGACTCAACTCTGGCACTACCTGCTTGGCCCACAGGTCAGGGCTCAGTCCCACAAGACCGCCCCCTTCAGATGCCAGTGGAAAGTCCAGCTGCTTCTGTGCTTCTGACCAAGCAGCTATAGATCAGGGGTTCCCAGAATCCCTTCCTCAAGTTTGATTAGTTCCTAGATTGGCTCACAGAACTCACAGAAACACTTTGCTTGCATCAACCTGTTTATTAAAAAAGGATACAACTCAGGAACAGCCCATGGTAGAGATGCCTGGGGCAGGTCAGGGGAGGGCTGCCGGGCTGCGGGGCCCTCTCCAGGAGCCCCACCTGCCAGCCATCTCCACGTGTTCAACAGTCCAACAGGCCGGAAACCCAGCCTTTTCAGTTTTGATAGAGGCTTCATCATGTAGGCATGATTGATAGATCATCGGCCATTGGTGATCAACTCAACCTTCAGCCCCACTTCTCTCCTGGGGGTCAGAGGATGGGGCTGAACGTTCCAACCCTCTAATCACAGGGTTGGTTCCCCTGCCAACTAGCCCCCATCCTCAGGGTATCCAGGAGCCCCAGCCACCAGTCATCTCATCAGCAGACAAAAAAAAAAAAACACTTATTACTACAGAGATTCCAAGAGTTTTTTGAGCTGTGAGCCAGGAAATGGGGGCAGAGACCAAACACATATTTCTTCTTATTTCATGACTAATGCCTCCAAACTCATTTCTTCACCTGTGAGCTCGGGATAAATAAAGTGTCTACTGTATAGGATTATGAGAGAAGGGATTGAATGAGATAATGTATATTACTAAGAATTTGTATAGTACCAGGCACATTGTAAGTGCCCCATAAATGCCAGTGATTGCCATCATCATCATCACCACTGTTGTTATTATTATTGCTGCCACAGCTGCTTTCTGTCACCGGCTTTGGGCAGAGACACCCCCAGCCATGGCCAGTGCTTGCCCAAGAACCTGGGTTTTGCCCGCTTTGACCCTGGCTGCACTCTCGCCTCCTGGGACTTAGTAAGCACCTTCTGCCAAGGAGTGTGCCAAGGCACAAAGCTTAAGCCTTGACAAACTTCAGAGGTCCTGTCACTTTCCTACTTCCATAAAGACAAGATAGAAAAAAAAAAAAAAAAGCAGCTTTCACTGCTTTTAATAGTGTCCGTCTGCATTTAAAGCTGTGAGTCATTACGCCCTAATAAAACCCAGAGGGCAGAAACTAAATGTCTCTTCATTATCCCACTGCAGCCTAGGGGAATGCCACACCCCCCTGAGGGGAGCAGCTGCAGGCAGGGGCTCACCTCTCAAGGACGCTCTGCAGAAGGCACATACGGTTTGCTCAGGCTCTAGGTCACTGACAGTGGAGCTGAGGGTGCCCCAGTGACCTCTCACTCCTAACGCCTGAAACCTGATGCCTGGGAATGGGGGGGTCTGGCCAATTCGGGGGCAATCCTGGAATCCTGATCTATTGAAAACGTTTGCACAGTGACCCATTCTGGGGGAGGGGGGTGAAACATGAACTGCTTGCTCAAAGCTGGTGAGGACACAACAGAACACACACACCCTAGCAACAGGCTAGTGCAATGTGGCACCCAAACAGCATGGACCTCAGAATATGGCGAAGTAGTCTGCAGCAGCAAAGCCACAGAGAGACCCCCAGGGGGTATCCAGGGAGCAGGCAGGCATCTCTCTGCCATCTGCAGACTGCCATTAAAGGAGAAAAGGACTCCTACGGACCTAATGGGGAGCTCTCTGAGTGAGTCACCCCAAGGGAAGGCACTCCCAATTACCACAAAAGGTGCAGCCACTTGGGGAGACTTGTGTCTCCAGTTATTCCTGTTCTAGATAATAATGGGATGCCTCAAACTCTGGCTTCAGGGTTTCCCAAGATGTCAGCCACACACAGCTCAGGGCAGGGTGGGCCCCGCACAGAGCAGGACAGAGGTGCCTATGAGCATGGAGAGGCCTACATTGACGGGCACGGAGCAGCCTTCCTCCTTCAGCAGGGTCATCGCTGTGATCTGAGAGGCCAAAGCAGATGTCCCTTTATCCACTAACATGGACCCTAAGGGTAAAGGAACAAAAGCTGACTACGGGTCAAGGGTTCAAGACCCAGCCAACATGGCAAATTTCTGAATTCCTACAGCTACAAGACAATCCACACTCTTGCTAACCTCCCTCACAACAGGAGCTATCAGGCAAATTATCAGACACTGCCTAACTGTGATTTATAACCCACCCCACTGCAAATCGGACTGGACACTGGATGGCCTTGCAAGCATTCTTTTCTGATAAGCAATGCAGACCTTAAGCCAGCTTCGGCCAGCTTATACAGGCTGCATACAAACTGTCTTTGTGTCCTATAGTTCACCTTTTGACATACAGAGTCAAATTCCTCCTCATTTTAATGCTAAAACCCCGCTTCAAAGTGAACATGGGATGTATAGTCCATATAGGTTTACCCATTGTGCCTGTGCTCAGCTCACCTCATAAATATGTATAGCTTGCCCCTAAAAGCTGCTGAATATGTATGATTCGACTGTGTAATGTGGACCCTGTGAGGCATAAAACCAAACTGCCCCCTCCCTCTTCTAAGAGAGAGCACCTTCGGTACACACCATAGACTCTCTCTTGCTGGTTTGCAAACCGATATCACCAATAAAGCTCTCCTTTCTACTGTTTATACTAGCTATCCTGATGGCCTTTTGAGTAACATCACAAATGTGCCAAAGGCACAATATTTTAGGTCCAAAGACCCACCGCCTGCTGGCTATATGATCTCTGTCAAATCAGTTAGCTTCTCCTCTGGTGCAAGACCACATAAATATGTTAACAGAATTGTTCCTTCTGTCTACAGAGCGAAGGTGGTACCCAGAGCTTGGTGAACTGGAGCTGGATGAGAGGTACAAACAGGAACAGCAGGAGTGAGATGAGAGAAGAAACTCCCAGAGGGTGTCAGTCCCTTTGTATTTCCAACCGTGTGAGGACAGCCCTTCTGGAGAGTTTGCCTTTGGCAGCACCAGAGTCCACATGGACATCCTCACTCAGCTAGTCAGAACCTACATGCCAGTAGACACCAGTACATAACAGTCCAGGCAAATGAGACACACACTCCCTGCTCTTGAAATACTTATAGCCTGGAAGAATATTTAAGAAAAAACAAGTTACATAATACTGAGTCCAAAGCATTCCTCAAAATTTCTGGAAGGAATTCTTTTCCCGAGTGGCCATATGTAACCTACCTCTTGACCACAGCAAGCAGACTGAATGACGCTGGCTAACTGCTCCCCAGACAAGCAAGAACACTTCTGCTCTCAGATACTTGGTGCTTGCTCGACAGGGAGACAGTGTCCACAGTCAGCATCCAGTCCTGAACTTTCTGGGACCAATGCTGAGGTTGAACGTCATGTCCTGGCACTAGTGGTCTCCAAAAATCTAAGACAAGGCTCAGCTCAGATCTTCCCTCCTCTAGGAACCCTGACCTGACCTCGCTCCCAGGGACAGCTCCCTCCTTTGAATGTGTGGCAGTTGCATTGTGCTAGCCCTTTGGCACTCCACTGATCTAGGGCATGCACCTTGGCATCCTGATGCATCAGAGTTCAAGCTCCCAGGGAGTAGACAGTGCAGCCTAGCACTTAGCCTAGAGAAACACTCAATAATGTTTGATAAGCTTGAAGAATAGAAAAGAACATGAGTTAGAACAAACAGCAAAGACGGTCATAAAGGAGTCCAAATTTTCCATCTCACACACACACACACACACACACACACACACACACACACACACGGAGTTTCATTTGCATGGCAGCAAGCCTGAGATTCAGAGACTATAAGAGTAATTAGCAGCCAGCAGCCAAGCCCGGCTGCCCTTAAGACCCAAGGGGCCTGGAGATGCTGGGCTAGGTCAAAGGGAAGTGCTGAGGTCCCCGCCAGGAATAGCTGGAAGCTCGGCAGGACAGAACAAATAATCAAAGAATGCCTGCTTCTCAAAGCCCAGAGTTTTTGCCCACTGGCATAGCTAAATCCATGGGAGCTTCAGAAAGAGCTCACTCAGTTAACCAAGAAATTAGTCACTCTGTGGATCCCAAGCTGGATTTCAGCCGCTTTGCATCATGGCTGCCCCTGCCACGTGCAGTTTTCTATACACAGCACGCCTACCTGGGTAATCAGCCCTCAGCAGGCTCCAAAGTGACCTTTGGCAAGTAACTCCAGCAGGCTTGGGATAGCTGAAGGGCACTTGGGCTTCTGGAGCCCCAGTTACATCCATTAACACTTTTAAAATAATCCTGGCGGAAGTTGCAGCCTCCTATGTCTTCTGGTCTCGTATCTTGGGTTCCTTGTAAGAAATCTTTTGGCTCCTAATATTTGGGGGAGCCACCCAAAGTGTGACTTCATTTAGAGGAAACTTGCTCTCCAAGCCGAAATCGAGGACATAGTGCAGAAAGGCTCTTTCCAGCAGAGGAGTCATGGGACTGTGCCATAGCCATGTTGCTTTCCAGCCCAAACTACACTCAAGCCCCTGTCCCACTTGTCCTCATCTGACCTTACACGGTTCTCTCCTAGGATGTCTGAACTTCGAGTTCTTCACACGCTCTGCACAACTCCTCCTGCTGGGAATTACAATTACCCCAAGGCTCTGTAATACACTAGGCCCCCTCTTTAAAGTTTACATTATATCTGTGTTGGTACAGGCATCATTTCTAAAAAGAAACAAAGCATAGACCACAGATAGTAATAGCCCCTGAGGGCAGAAGGGAGTCTGAGGATCCAGGAAGAGCTGGAGACCCTCCTAAATCTGTTGCATTGTTTAGTGGAGATGTTTTTTAACATCTTGATGCATCGCTTTTCTGGTTAAAAGTAATAAAATTCAGATATTATCCCCAAAGGGAAAAGCAGTATACTTTGTCTTAATCTCTGTAGTGTATGTGTGGCAAGGTCTTTGGTACAAGGAAAAAAAAAGTAAAGTTATAATAATGTGATTTTGGAGTCCTTGCTGCATGTCCCTCCAGTAGGATGGCTTTCCAGAAGCTTCCATTCCTCACTCTGTGCCTTAGTTGATCGTATGAACTTGGACAAGTGTGATGGAGATAATGAGTCCCCAGGTCATAGAGTTATTTGAGGATTGGGTGAGAAAATCCACAAAAAGCATTTAGCACATGGCAATACTCAATGAAGTCGACCTTCCTCGATTACGTGGAGCTTTTTCCTTTGATATATGTGTTGATCTACATGCTCTCCTGACGGGACATACCCTGACACTAGAAATCCCGGAAACAGTTGGCGAGTGGCTTTCAGGGCCAGAAATGGTGACTCATTACCATCTGAAATACAGAGCTTTCCAGAACAAGTCCCAGTAGCACCAGATAAAATCTATGTCTGGGGATGAGTATAGAGGAGGGGCCCCAGCTAGTAAACCCCCTTTTCCAGAAACCTCTTTGCTTTGACGCCTGGGAACATTTGCCAAGAAATGGCTGTGTGCCTGCCATCTCCATGCAGTGCAAACTGGGAGCTGCTGTGGCTGTGAACACAAGGAATGTGGGACAAAAGTCAACTGCACTTCCCTACTGAAAAAAACTTCTCACGGAAAGTCACAGTAGGAGGAACAAAGCACACAGAGTTGCTAAATCAATTCCCAAGAACTTCTCTAGGCTCTCAGCTTTAGGGCAAAGAAAAGCTAGTTGTTCTAGAAAGTTTCCTTATCTGATGGAAATATAGTTACAGGCTATGAGCCTAGTGTTTCTCAGTCTCTCCTGATATCTGTGTCTGGTGAGGAATTTTTATTTTCCCTAAGTTAAGCCATCCTTGCATTAGGCCTGGATGTGAGTTTCAAATTTTATGTTCTCTTAGTACTTTTCAAGCTGGATTTCACACCAGTTATCTCCAGAGGAGCTTGTTCATTCTACTGGCCTCTTGTTTGGGGGTAAAGATAAAAAGAGAAATTAGGGAAAAGATTTATTCTTTTCTCTTGAATTCCTGCCAAGGTTTGTATTTCATTGATAGAAAGTGGACATGCCATGCAGACCCAGCCATAGGGAACCACCACTCCCCCAAGTCCCAGAACTTCTGCAGAGCACACCCAAACACAGATCCCTGAACGCTGCGTGAGAAACAGCAAGGAACCAGCAAGCAGGAGAGACAGACACAGACAGATAGCACAGAGACGGCGGGCAGAGACAGGGACAGAGTGACCTAACAGTTTCCAAAGCCAAGTGCAGTAGATATTTACGCCAACCAAGCAGCCAGGTACTGAGGCTAAAGTCCGTCTTTTCAGGAGTACTCAGAGCAAAACAGTGAAATCGGCAGATCCCGAAGCCGCGGCATGCCGGGCCCCTCCCTGAGCACATCGCCCACTGCCCTTTCCCAGACGGATGGACCCGAGCACTCGCCTCCTTGTCCCTGCGGGCTGCATCCAGGGAGATCTTGGTGTGGCCCCTGTGCTCCTCCTGGCCACACTCCTGGCAGATGCTCTGCCGATCCTGGCTGCAGAAGGCGACCAGTGGGCTGTGGTGGGTGGGGCAGGTGCGCAGGTCGCGGTCCCGCACCGGCTCCGTCAGCCGGTGGCTGTGCAGTTTGCTGTTCTCCTGGTGCGGCCGCAGGTGCTCTTCACAGTAATTCATCATGCAGGTCAGACAGGACTTCACCGCCCTCACCCTGCTGGTCCCGAGGCAGAAATCACACAGGATCTCCTCCTCCTCCTCCTTCTCGTCTCCGGGGGCCCCCTGCTCTGCAGAGCCCCCGTCCTGTCCCTCAGCCTCCCCATCCGGCCCCTCCAGGGAGCCCACGTCCTCTTCTTCTACCGGACTGCTCGGCCCGGAGTCTGGGCTGAGAGGGGCCAGAGAGTGAGCAGTGGCCCCAGGTAGTGGCCCTGGAGCCATGAGATCCAACTCGGCCATCTGGGAGGCTCTGCCGCCTAAGCCGCCCTTCCTCCGCCTTTTGGCCCAGATCTGCACAGCCCAAGTCGACAAAAGAGCCACGCCTGCGTGATTACAGCTGCTGCAACTTTAACTGTTTCCTCCCTCCCGGAGGAAGCTCAGTTACTCATTTCTGTGCCCCGGGCTTGGATGGCGGCCAGCAGCCGTGACAGGGCAGCTAGATTACTCAGGCTTGAGATCGCTCAGGATGGCTCCTCACTGGCTGGAAACTCTCCTGGGGTCCAGCCTGGAAACGCCTATTCTCAGGTGAATCAGTTGCTCCTCACAGGCTCTGCTGAAGGACATGTGTGTCTGTGGCTGCTCTAGAAAGATTCCTGAGCTTTGTTGGAAGCCTGTGTGGCTTTGTGTGGTCTGACAAGCTAATTTTTGTTTAGTTTTGTTTTCATTTTTAAAAAAGATCCAAAATGTAAGGACTTCAGTGATAGGGCGGCCATTCACCCCTGCCCGTCTCATAGACCTGGACACAGGCAGCTAGGAATAGTACGCATGTTCTGACCCTGACCTTTCTGTGTCACCTTCCTGTGTGGCACATGTGTATTCAGCAGGGGTTAGAAGGGTGAGGGGAGAGCTTGTTTCCTTTCACAGAGAGTTCCACTCAGACAGCCCCTCCAACCACACATCCTGCCCTGTAGTTCCCCAAGAGGGACGTGTGCTACAAAATAGCCCCTCTGCCCACTTTACAAAACGTTCCTAGACATGGTGCATTAGTTTTCTAGGGCTGCCATAATCAAGTGCCACAGACTGGTTGGTTTCACCATTAGAAATTCATTTCCTTGGCCGGGCGCGGTGGCTCACGCCTGTAATCCTAGCTCTCTGGGAGGCCGAGGCGGGCGAATTGTTTGAGCTCAGGAGTTCGAAACCAGCCTGAGCGAGACCCCATCTCTACTAAAAATAGAAAGAAAATTAATTGGACAACTAAAAATATATAGAAAAAATTAGCCGGGCATGGTGGCACATGCCTGTAGTCCCAGCTACTCGGGAGGCTGAGGCAGGAGGATCGCTTGAGCCCAGGAGTTTGAGGTTGCTGTGAGCTAGGATGACGCCACGGCACTCTAGCCCGGGCAACATAGTGAGACTCTGTCTCAAAAAAAAAAAAAAAAGAAATTGATTTCCTCACTGTTCAGGAGGTCAGAAGTCTGAGATCAAGGCATCAGCAGGGTTGGTTTCTCCTGGGGCCTCTCTCCTTGGTCTGTAGGTGGCTTCTCCTGTCTTCACATGGTCTTCCTTCCATACATGTCTGGGTCCAGTCTTGCTGGAGTCCTCATAAAAAGAGGAGATTAGAACACAGATGTATCAGAGGAAGATACAAGAGGAGCCACACATACCTGATTAGGATCCTAGGATCAGAAATGTACATCCTCTTCCTAGCTTCCTCATGTCCACTTCTATGGGATGGGAAGGGATGAATGACTGCCCTATCATTGAAGTCTTTACATTTTGGATCAGTTTTAAAAATGAAAACAAAAAATTTAGCTTGTCAGACCACACAAAACCACCTAGGCTTCCAACAGAGCTCCGGAACGTGATTTTGTGGTTTTTATATTTCCAGCTAGGAGGGAAAGGAGCTGGCTTCTACCAGTCCAGCCTGTTCTCAGTGCTTTCTCAAATATTAACAGATAGGTTTGCTTTCCTTTTAACCCCTTTTTCAGAATGACCTGGAACTAACTGGAAGCCGAACTGGTCCACCCACATGCCACAGAGCCTCTGATCTCTCTGGGAAGGGGGAAGGGAAGGCAGTTGCCCCGCCTGGCCCTTCCACGGCCTCAAGTATGAGTCAGAAGGTGCTGGGCCTGCCTGGGTTTCCATTTGGCCTCTCGCTTCTCTCTCATTCTTTCCCTCGCTATCTCACTCCCACCCTTTCTTCTTTGGTGAATTGTTTCCATGCCTGTCCCTTATCTATGGCTAACCCTTTAGGGCAGCTCATGAGCAGTGCTCAGCCTTCCATCAATACCCATTGGACCCCTGAGCTAGCAGATTTCCCACAGTGGTATGGAAAACAGGAAATCTGAATTTTGGTCCCAGCCTGGCCTGGGCCAATCACTTGACCTCTCTTAACCTCAGCTTCCTTGACCATAAAATAAACATGTTGGCCTAAGTCAAGGCTGGTAAATAGATTTCTGGTTTGGCTCTATGGCGAATTATGTGGAGAAGGAGTCTAAGTTCACGTCTGAATTTATCGGGGAGGGGCGTCATGCTCATGTTGTGATGTCTGGCATGGGCATGGGATGGAGAGTGGGGGGCCCTCTGGAGGCCGGTCTCTGACCCTCTGGGACCACAGAATTCACCACAACTTCTAAATCCCCTCCACCGCCAACCTTTAAAGCAGAGCCTTCGGAAGGACACTGCTAGGGCCACACTTCAATCCTGCTGCCAGGGACTATGGTGAGTCTCCTCAAGCCTCAGTGCCCTTGCTCAACACCTCAGCACCCGCAGATTGAGGCTATGAAGTCATGTGATCCTCCTGAACTCAAATTCATTATTGAACCAAGCGCTCCACAACTTCCACCACCCTTTGCTCCTGCCAGGCCCTGGGCATCCTGACATTCTCGGTCTTTCGTTGGATTATTTGCTCTGCCTCCTTGCCTTAAAGACACTGTCCCCCAAACACTGACACCTGTGAACTGGTGCTGTTCCTACTCATGCCACCTTATCTCAGAGCCAGGTGGGATGGGAGTCCTCACACCCCCCGATCATGACATCCAGACCGCCACTCCCCAGCCCCCGGCAAAGCCTGCTCCCCTGATGCATGTGCTGTCCTGCAGTGCCACCCCCTCTGCTCCTCCTGGCTGTCTTCTACCATCCTGCTCCCACCCCAACTCTGTTATCATCATCAGAACTTCTACGTCTTAATGCTTCCTGCCACCCACACCCTATGGGCACACTGGGATTTCTTTTTATTTTTAATTGTGGTGAAATACACATAAATACATGTAACACAAAATACAAATAACATAAAATTTACCATCTTAACCATTTTTAAGTGTGCAATTCAGTGGCATTAAGTACATTCACATTGCTGGGCAACCGTCACCACCACTGATCCCTACAACTCTTTTCATCTTGCAAAACTGAAACTCTGTGCCCATTAACCAATAACTCCTCATTACCCCTCCCTCCACCCCGGGAAACCACCATTCTACTCCTTGTCTCTATAAATTTGACTACTTGAGGTACCCTACATAAGTGAAATCATACAGTGTTTGTCCTTTTGTGACTGGCTTATCTCACTTGGCATAATGTCCTCAAAGTCCATTCATGTCATAATGTGTGTCATAATTTCCTTCCTCACACCTGGATTTTGCGTTCAGCAGAAATATCAACCTCCAGAATCATGAACTGACAATTGACAAACTGAAAAATGCATCAGCGTCTCTCAACAGCAGAACCGAGCAGCAGAAGACAGATTCAGTGAGCTCGAAGAAAAGCTATTTAAAAATACACAGTGAGAAGAGAAAGAAGAATAAACAAGAATACATAATGATACATAATGAGCACGATGCGTACCGTCTGGGGGATGGATATGCTTGAAGCTCTGACTTGGGGTGGGGGGGACAAGGGCAACATATGTAACCTAAATATTTGTCCCCCCATAATATGCAGAAATTTAAAAAAAAAAAGAATAAAGCATGGCTACAAGATTGAGGAAATAGTCTCAAAAGGGAAAGAGTTATTGGCCATAAAAAGAAGGTAGAGGCCAGGTGTGGTGGCTCACGCCTGTAATTCTAGCACTCTGGGAGGCCAAGGTGGGAGGACAGCTTGAGGTCAGGAGTCCGAGAGCAGCCTCAGCAAGAGTGAGACCCCATCTCTACTAAAAATAGAAAGACATTAGCCAGACAACTAAAAATAGAAAAAAAAAATTATCTGGGCATGCTAGCACATGCCTGTAGTCCCAGGTACTTGGGAGGCTGAGGCAGGAGTATCGCTTGAGCCCAGGAGTTTGAGGTTGCTGTGAGCTAAGCTGATGCCATGGCACTCTAGCCCAGGCAACAGAGTGAGACTCTGTCAAAAAAAAAAAAAAAAAGAGGAAGAGAGAGAGAGAGATTACGGCAGAAAGTTTATTCAAAGAAATAATAACAGAAAACTTTCCAAACCTAGAGAAAGATATCAAGATTCAGGATAAAAAGGTCATAAAACACCAAGCATATTTAACCCAAACAAGACTACCTCAAGGCATTTAAAAGTCATGCTCCCAAATGTCAAAGGAGAGGTCCTAAGAGAAGAAAAGAAAAAGAAAAAAATAACATATAAAAGACTGCCAACACATCTCGCAGCAGACTTCTCAGTGGAAATCTTACAGGCCAGAAGAAAGTGGCATGACATATTCAAAGTGCGAAAGGAGAAAAACCTTAATACTAGAATATTATATCCTGTGAAAATATCCTTCAAACATTAAAGAAAAATAAAGACTTTCCCAGACAAACAAAAGTCAAGGGATTTCATTAACCTCAGACACGTCCTACAAGAAATGCTAAAAGGAATTCTTCAATATGAAAGAAAATGACATTAATGAACAACAAGAAATCATCTGAAGGTATAAAACTCACTGGTAACAATAAGTACACAAATATAGAATACTCTATTGCTGTAACTGCAGTGTATAAATCCCTTAAATCTTCAGTAGGAAGACTAAAAGACAAATCTATCATTTTGCTTAAGATTGCTTAGGTTATACAAAGTCTTCCCTGGTTCCATATGAAGTGTGGAATTATTTTTTCTAGATCTATAAAGAATGATGATGGTATTTTGATAGGGATTGCACTAATTCTGTAGATCACTTTAGGTAGTATGGACATTTTAACAATATTGATTCTGCCAATCCATGAGCATGGTAGGGTTTTTCATCTGTTTACATCTCTTCTACAATTTCTTTTCTCAGTGTTTCGTAGTTCTCCCTATATCAGTCTACCAGAATTCAAGCTTTACTACAAGGCTATCGTAACCAAAACAGCATGGTACTGGCACAAAAACAGAGATATAGACCTTTGGAACAGTACTGAGAACCCAGATAT